CCTGGCTCACCTGCTCACCCGCTCACCCAGTGGCTGGGGCAGCTGGAGCCTGTGACCAGAGTTGGGGAGGAACAGCTGTGCCAAGGAAGGGGGACTGGGTAGAGAAATGGCCGAGACAGAGGGGCCTAGAAGGATGAACAGGAGACACAAGGACCACAGAGAGGAGGCAAGGCTGGGAGTGGGTGCCTGAGTGAGTCGGCTAAGCAATGCCAGCTTGAACCTGAGGGGAAGAGAATTAGGAGCCCCCAAAAGGCAAGATTTCCATTTTGGGCAGATCATGGGGCATCCATGGGGAGGAGAGCCTGGGGTCAGTGTAACTAGAATGGGTGTCTTGGGGGGAGTTCCTGGCACCAAAGACGATGGTCAGCCCCAGCCCCCAGAACAGCTCCTCTCCTCTCTGGATGCCTGGGTGCTGGGTGAGCGAGCCCCGAGCTTAAAGGAGGGAACTAGGAACCCAAGCTCATCATCTGTTGAGTGTTTTATATGAACCCTGTATTCCATCCTCATGCCAGTGCTGCGAGAGGGGATCTGTAGCATTCTCACGAAATGGAGAAAAAAATGAGGGTCACACACATAAATAAATAAGTTGCCTAGGATCACTCAGCAAGAGATACAGAGGGTATGAATCCACTGGACTCCAAAACCTGGGCTTTTAACAAATCTATGATGTGTTCATTGATCGTTAATAGGTCCAATGCAGGTCTGTCTGTCTGTCTGTCTCTCCCTGCCTCCCTCTCTCTCTCTTCCTGAATCTATTCAGGTCCTGAGTTCCAATTGTGAGCATTCAGCTAGCAAGGGATACCTGTTGAAACAATGAGGTGGGAGTAGCCTATTAAATCCTTTGGTTAGAAAGTACTGGAACATCCAGGGAGCTTTTTGTTACAGGATTTGGGATGGGAATGCTTTCATGGTTCCAAAGTATAAACAATTATCCTGGAACACTCATGAGTCCTTCCTCCTCAGCCAAGGAAAAGTTTATAAAAAGTGATAAGGTTGCCAAATCATCCAGGGTGACAGTTTGTGGCCATCCTAGGAAAATAAAGCCAGCTTCTCAATGCTTCATCTCAGTGCTAGATCCCTTTAACAACAAAATTCCCTAGCAGTGACACCAAATGCTCAAGTTGCCTCCAGATAGCTTATATCTTTTCTTCCTTAAAAACTGGAAGATTCTTGATTTCTGAGTACACTGTCACTCAGCTAAAAGACAATACTTCCCAGCCTGCCTTGAGCCCTCTCCTTTCTGTAGAACTACATTTTATCCAGAAGAGTGAGTGGAATAGTTTTGTGTGGCTTCCAGGACGTCTCCCTAAAGGAAGAGGGAAGTTTTCCCTTCACTGTTCTCATTCTTCCTTCCTGCTCAGAATATGAGTATGATGGCTGGAGTACGGCAGCCACCTTGGACCATGAGGTACCTTGAGAACAGAAGCCATACATAGTGACACCTGGGTCCATGAGTGATACACATCTCTTTATCAGTCCCACTACCTACGTGAGACTTCTTTAACATAAAAGAGAAATATATTTCTATCCTTTTCAAGTGGGAAAGAGGGGTGTGGTCTTTCTATCTCAGCGTAGCTAATCCTGAGAACACCTTTAGTTTTAAAGTGATAATAGATCCAACGTTAGAACAAGAGAATTTATTTTTTTGTTGTTACTGTTTCTTTGATTTCTCTCTTTTGAATCATCCATCTGGAACCTCTTCATTCTTGGGGGGAAATGACAAAATGGCAGCATGATTGTATCTTTATAAAAAGGGGGAGATTCCATTTCACAGTTTCATAAGAGACTCCTTGTTCGCGCTGCTTTGAAACCACTAACCAGGACAGCCCAAACCCATGTCCGAAACACTCCTGGGTTGCCGTCATCATCAGGGTTCCTGCCCCTTCTTCTCTCCTATATCCAAGCAGAGATGTTGGAGAACACCAAAGATCATGACTGGGGATTCCTCAGGAAATGCAGCTCTTCTGGCAAACACTGCCATGGTGGTTGCTTTCTCCTAGGGTGACAATCAGGCTTTTTCAGAGAAGGCTGGGCTCTGAGTTTCACACCCAGGGTGTGGTGTTTCTGGAAGATTCTAAACCTTTCAGTCAGCCTGGGAGGAAGCCAAGCTGCTCATTCTCCCATGGACAGCATCCCCCGCCACTGCCCCCCAGGCCATGTGCTGAGTCCTTAGGTGCCCTGGAAACCCCCACGCCAGCCCAGGGACGGGGACAAAAAGAATGAAAACTGGCCTCCCCTCTGACCCCTAGCAAAGGAATCACAGCACTCCAGCCCTCCTGCTGGGGTGGGGCCCTACACATCTCCTCAGGGCACTGAGCCTCCAGATCTTCTGTTGGACCTTGAATCCAAGCTCCATTTTTGTTGGCTTGAGACCCTGGACAAGTGCCTTGACTCCCCTGCCCCTCAGTCTCTTCACCTGTGAGATGGGACCAGTAACAGACCCATGTGATAGCGCTGTTGTTGTAAACTAGTTAACTGCTGAGAATTCTTAGTCTCATCCCTTCCATCTGCACCCTCCAATTCATCAGCAGTCCTCCTTCTATAAATACTGTCCCTGCCAAGCATTACCACCTATGGGACACCCTCTCTAATCTCCTCCAACCCCAGAAAACCATCAAATAATTGTAGTTTTTGCTCAAAGTCTGAAAAGCAGGGCACATGAGTGTATTCATGTCCCGGGGCCACCAGGATGAAGGACCACAAATTGGGTGCCTCAAAACAACAGCAATTTGTTCTCTCACAATGCACAGGGCCAAAGGCTGAGATCTGGGTAACAGCTGGGCTGGGCTCCCTCTGGAGACTGGAGGGAAGGACGCTGTTCTCTTCCTCAGCTTCTGAGCTGCCACGTCCTCTCCTCTTCTAAGGACATCAGTCATAGGGGGTTAGGGCCACATCAAGCCAGTAGGACTACATTTCATTACATCTGCAAAGAACCTTTCTCCAAATAAGGCCATATTCTGAGGTTCTGGGTGACATGAATTTTGGCAGGACACTATTCCCTTGACTCTGAACTATGTGACCAAGAATATAGTGTTAAGTGATGCTGTGCCAGGCCCTAAGAAACTGGCAGCTTCTGGTGGGGGAGGGATAACTGGGAGTTGGGGGATTAGCAGACACAAAATACTATAAACAAAATAGATAAACAAGGACCTATTGTATAGCACAGGGGACTATATTCTACGTTTGGTAATAACCTATAATGAAAAAGAATATATGTATGTACAACTGAATCACTACGCTGTACACCAGAAACTAACACAACATTGTAAATTAACTATACTTCAATTTTTTAAAAAAGGAATATATATATATGTATATGCATGAGTGGGACATTGTGCTGTACACCAGAAATTGACATACTGTGACTGTGCTTTAATTAATTAAAAAGAAAGAAAGAAACTGGCAGCTTCCATTCCTCCTCATGGGACACTTGCTCTTAGAAGCCCACCACCATGCTGTGAGGAAGCCCAAGCCACCCCAGGGAGGGGAGCCAGCAGCCAGTGCCAACGTGCAGTTATGACTGTGCCATCTCGGAATGGGTCCTCCACACCCAGCTGAGACGGGAGCAAAATCAATGACTGGTGGTGTTCTACGGCACTAAGTTTTGGGGTGGTTTCTTGCGCCACAAAAGGTAACAGGAACAGAAATGGTCAGTTTCTTGCTTTTCCGGTATGATGCTGGGCACACAAGCAGGCGTGCAGCAAATGTTTGCTGACTGTAACACGATCGTCTCTGACTGCCAAGAAACTACTTGACAATGGCAACAACTGAATTATTAATACCCAGGGACCCATTAAATAGGACATGCCAAGCTCTGTCTTCCTTCTTGCCTCAACCAAGATAAACTGAAATTTTTATTTCCAAATGATGGGATGGCTTCGTGTTCCTGCTGACTAGGCAGTATTGGCCCTACTAGAGGACAGACTCCTGGAGTCACTGGCAGGCTGTGGCTGGGTGAGGAAGTTAATTCGTGAGACCTGCAGATGTACACATCCTAGAGGATGCTCCGACCTGGGACAATTGCAAAAACGACCTCGCCCTGACTGTTCATATTCCAGATCAGTGCCATCAGTCGATGACTGGCGCCTGTTGCTCATTGGGTCTTGCTTTCAACCCAAGCCAAAGCTGAAAACATTTCTTCAGAGAGTAATGACCACATGGTCCATCATTATCGTGATGACTCCAAGTGACTCCACCTCCCTTTGTCCTCACCCCTCTGCCTGATGACTTTGCCCCTTGTGAATTTCCCTCTTCTTACAAAGACACCGCTGACTGGATGAGGGCCCAACCCTACTCTGGTAGGACCCCAACTTGATTACATCTGCAAAGACCTTGTTTCCAAATAAGGTCACAATCGGATGGCTGAGTGGAGCTGAGATTGGGGGTAACGCTAGTCGACCCACTATACTTGTAAAAGGGACTCTGTTGGTGTGATTAATTAAGGATCTGGAAATGAGGATATTATGATGAATTATCCTGTAGGTCCAATGTGACCACAAGGGGCCTTATAAGAGGGAGGTGGGAGTCAGAGTCAGAGTCAGAGCAGGAGGTTGGAGGGATGCACTTTGAAGATGGAGGAAGGGGCCATGAGCCAAGGGACACAGAAGCCTCTAGAAGCCAAAAGAGGCCAGGGTGATACTCTGATTTTAGTCCAGCGAGACCGCATTTGGACTTCTGACCTCCAGGACCATAAGAGAGTAGATTATTGATTTCTACTGTCTTGAAGTCTCGAAGGTTGTGGTCACTTACTACAGCAGCTTTAGGACACTAACACAGATCCACGGTTAGTTGTGACTGCAGGAGGGCATTGGGGTGGCTGCCGAGCTGGGCCACAGGCCCCTGCGCTGCACCCTGAAGGGGGAAACCCCTGTGAATCAGCCACAGCACAGGGAACAGCTTCCAGGCAGTGCAGCTCGCAGACCACACAGCATTCGGCTCGGCCCTGAATCATCTGGCTCCGAGAGGTGCTTCCTTAGAGCCTCTTTACCAGAAATGCCCTGGGTTCTCCCTGATTATTTTTCTAGCAATCAACTAACACTTTCCAGATGCAAAAACTGGACAGGGGCCAGTCTCAGCCTCTGTGCTGGTGGGCAGCAGCTGTCTTCCACCATCGGGTGGCCCCGGGACGCCTGCAGAAGCTCGGACCAGGCTGGACTTGAAAGTGGCCGAGACAGAGAGCCTCGGCATCCTGGCGTCTCCCCGCGCTGTCCTCCTCCTCCTCCCTACATCTCTCATCTCCGTGGGACAAGCAGCTACGCTTACGCCATATCCACTCAGAGGTGTGTGTTTATCTTCTACAACAGGGCGGTGGGGGTGGCGTGGGGAGAGGTACTTGACTTGACAATAAGCAGTATCCGTTTCTCTCACTTGATTGCTCATTTGAAAAGTCTCAAGTCACTAGTTGGAGGCGTACCCTCCAGAGTCTCTCATGGCTGTGTCTTCCTCAACTTTCCCTTCCTATGATGCCTCCTGGCACGGGAGAAAGTCAGGGTCTTTGTGGTTTTGCTGGGGGAAGAGAACCCACCCCAACTCCAGATCCTTCTATCGAACACAGGACCCAAGATCAGTGTCCTGGAGCTGCTGGAAGTAATCACAAACTAGGGAACTTAAGACAACACAAATTCACTTTCTCAACATTCTGGAAGCCAGAAGTCCAAAATCAAGGCAGCAGGGCCACACTCCCTTCAAAGGGTCTGGGGAAGATCCTTCCTGCCCCTTCCAGCTTCTGATGGCTCAGGCGTTCCCGTGACCACATAGCCCCAATCTCTGCCTCTGTCCTCACCTGGCCTCCTCTCTTCCAGTCATTGCATTCAAGGTGTACCTGGGTAACCCAGGATGCTCTTGTATGGAGATCCGCTACTTAATTCCTTGATCACATCTGTAGGCTCTTTTAAGCAAGGTCACATTCACGGTTCTGGGGGTTGGCACGTGGACAGAGCTCCTTAGTGGCCCCCTTTAAACCCACTACAGCAAGCGTGGGTTCACTCTGGCCCTTCTGTCCTCACCAGGCCACCCCAGCAGCCTGGGCTCCAGCACCGACCTGTGTTAGAGAGGGGTATGGAGGGTGGGAGGGGCTCTGAGCTCTTCTGCTTTCAGCCTCCCCCTTAACCTAACCCCTTAAGTACCCCCTTCCCTCAACTCCAGGGTGGGGCCCAGGGGGGCATCACAGGACATGTTACCCTCCCCCATCTCTTTCTTACCTCTCCCCTCACCCAGCTGCAGAAGGGAGAGAAGGATTTCTCACCTTCTTGTGTTGCAAAGATGCCTCATTCATGAAGCCTTGAATTGTATTCTCCTATGACTGATAATCAGCTTGAAGGCTAAGTTCAATATGCCTTTTTTTTAAATTGAAGTAAAGTTGATTTACAAAGTTGTGTTAGTTTCAGGTGTACAGCACAGTGATTCAGTTATACATATAAATTTATATATACACATATATATTCTTTTTCAGGTTCTTTTTCATTACAAGTTATTACAAGATATTGAATATAGTTCCCTGTGCTATACGATAGGTTCTTATTGTTTATCTATCTTATAATTATTATAGTTTGTATCTACTAATCCCAAACTCCTAATTTATTCGTTCCCCCCTTTCCCCTTTGGTAACTACAAGTTTGTTTTCTATGTCTGTGAGCCTGTTTCTGTATTGTCAATAAGTTCATTTGTATCATTTTTTAAAAAATTCCATATACAAGTGATATCATAGGATATTTGTGTTTCTCTGTCTGGCTTACTTCACTTAGTATGATAATCTCTAGGTCCATCCATGTTACTGCAAATGGTATTATTTCATTCTTTTTATGGTTGAGTAATATTCCACTGTAGAAATATACCACATCTTCTTTATCCAGTCATCTGTCAGTGGACATTTAGATTGTTTTCATGCCTTGGCTATTGTCTATAGTGCTGCTATGAACACAGTGCATATATCTTTTCAAATTGGAGTTTCCTCTGGATATATACGCAGAAGTGGGATTGCTGGATCGTTTGGTAGGTCTATTTTTAGTTTTTTGAGGAATCTCCACACTGTTCTCCATAGAACAGTATACACCAATTTATATTCCCACCAACTGTGTAAGAGGGTTCCCTTTTCTCTGCATTCTCTCCAGCATGAATTATTTGTAGGCTTTTTGGTGGTAAGAAGCCTGACTCTTGATGCATACATGGGAGCTAAAGGGATTTAGAAAACCCCTTGAGTTTTTCCTGGTACCCCTAAGTCAGGCAGGAGCCTCAGCTGAGAAGAGGAAAGGTCACTACCAGGAAATACAAGAGAGGAAGATGCATCCATGTGAGCCTCTTCCACAGACCAGCAGCGCCGCACTGACCCCATCTCACCAGCAGGGGGTGTCAGAGGCATGTTAAAAATCAACTCTGTGGGAGGTCGATTTTCCATGCGATAAAGTACACACAACTCAAAGAGTTCCCACCAACATCCACACCACATGGCCAGTCACATGTAGAATGTTTCAATCACCTATTGCCCTTCCCGAGTCAGCCCTCAGCCTTCCCTCTCCTCCCACCCACTTCCCACCTCCCCAGCCTTGCCCGTTGGTTCTAGAAGGTCATGTAAATGGAATCACACAGCCTGTGAACAGATGACCCTCCCCCTCCCCTACAGGTGAGCACCTTAAAGTCTCCAGAACAGATGGCACAGTCAAGCCTGGCAGATGAGGAAAGATTTTAAAATAAATTAAAACATTTATTTGTATATTAAAAAATAATGCTTATGTCACTAGACACAGAGAACTCATAGACACAGAGAACAGATTCATAATGACCAGAGAGGAGAGGGTTGGAGGGTGGGTGAAATGGGTGAAGGGGGTCAACTGTACAGGGATGGATGGAAACTACACTCATGGTGGTGACCACTCTGTAGTGTCTACAGATGCTGAATTATAATGCTGTACACCTAACACTTCTATAGTAAGAATAAAATAATAATCCCAGGAGGCTTTTTTGGTAGAAGTTAACAAACAGATCCTAAAATATATGTAGAAACACAAAGAATATAAAATAGTCACAACAACTTTGAGAAAAGAATAAAGCTGGAAGGTTAACATTCCTGTTCAAGATTGTTCATATAAAACAGTAAGCTATAAATAGCTCACATAACTTAATAACCAAAAAACAAACAACCCAATCCAAAAATAGGCAGAAAACCTAAATAAACATTTCTCCAATGAAGACATACAAATGGCCAAATGGCCAATAGGCACATGAAAAAATGCTCAATACTGCTAATCATCAGAGAAATGCAAACCAAAAACTACCATGAGATATCACATCACACCAGTCAGAACGGCCATCGTTAGGAAGTCCACGAAACATAAATGTTGGAGAGGGTGTGAGAAAAGGGAACCCTCCTACACTGCTGGTGGGAGTGTAGTTTGGTGCAGCCATTATGGAAAACAGTATGGAGATTCCTCAAAAAACTAAAAATAGACTTACCATGTGACCCAGCAATCCCACTCATGGGCATATATCCTGAGGAAACTTCAATTCAAAAAGATACATGCACCCCAATGTTCATAGCAGCACTACTTACAATAGCCAAGATGTGAAAACAACCTAAATGTCCATTGACAGATGACTGGATAAAGAAGCTGTGGTGTATTTCTACAATGGAACACTACTCAGCCATAAAAAAGAATAAAATAATGCCATTTTGCAGCAACATGGATGGACCTGGAGATCGTCATTCTAAGTGAAATAAGCCACAAAGAGAAAGAAAAATACCATACGATATCACTTACATGTGGAATCTAAAAAAAAAAAAAACACCACAAATGAACTTGTTTACTAAACAGAAACAGACTCATAGACAGAAAATAAATGTATGGTTAACGGGGGGAAGAGGGTGGGAAGGGATAAATTGGATATTCAATATTTGCAGAAACTAACTACTATATACAAAAAAGATGAACTCCAAGTTCCTACTGTACAGCATAGGGAACTATATGCAATATCTTATAATAACCTATAATGAAAAAGAATATGAAAACAAATATATATATGTATATTATGACTGAAACACTATGCTGTACATCAGAAATTGAAACATTGTAAACTGACTGTATTTCAATTTTTAAAAACCCCAGTAAGCAAGACCCACACACATATGATCAATTTTTCTTTTTACAAAGGTGCAAAGGCAAAGTCTGATGGAGAAAGGAGAGTCTCCTCAACAAAAGGTACTAAAAGAATTAAATATCCATATACAGAAAATTAACTTTGATCCATACATCTCACCATATACAAAAATTAACTCAATCTAATCAGAGACCTAAATGTAAAACCTAAAATTATAAAACTTCTATGGGAGGAAGGGTATAGCTCAGTGGTAGAGGGCATGCTTAGCATGCACGAGGTCCTGGATTCAATCTCCAGTACCTCCACTAAATAAACAAACAAACAAACAAACAAACTTACAAAACTTCTACAAGAAAACATAGGAGAAACTCCCTATGACCTTGGGTTAGGCAATATTTTCTTAGATACAATATCAAAAACACAATCCATAAAAGAACAACTTGATAAACTAAAATGTTTAAAGCAAGTGTTATGACACTGAGTTGCTGGTTTACAATGTGTAGAGAAATGATATACATGATTACATAGCACTGAGTATAGGGGAGGGGTGAATGAAAACATACTGCTGCAAGGGTCCTGCACTGTCCTGGAGTAATTCAAAATTAACTCTAAGCAGGATGTGATCAGTTAAAGACGCACATCGAAATCCCCCGAAATCCCTAGAACAACCATGACAAATGATGGTTTTCCATGGCCTGGGGAAAAGCTTCTAAAACATACCAAACAAAAACAGGAAAAGAGCATCGTCTCAAGGGTACAATCCTAAATATACATATATACACATATATACAAATATTTAGGAATGTTATCAAATTATATTACTATTATATATTAAGGATTATACTAAGGAATATTAAAAGGCCAAAAAGAAACATGCACACATATGAATGATGAGATTACGGAGGTTTTGGGCCTTCTTCCCTTCTGTTCAATGCCCAACCAACATGTTTCAAGTGAGAATGTATTACTTCAGGGAGAAATGTGCAAAACAGGAAAATGAAAGAAATATAAGAGGGAGGGAAGAGGAAGGAAAAAAACAAGCAGGGAGGAACAGAAGGAGGGAAGGAAAACTGTGACTGGGAGTCCAGAAGAGCAGAGCACTTTCCCACCCTTGAAGGCACTGTTCAGTGTAGGATGATGGCTTCCAGGCGACCGGCAAGAGCAGGGCATCTGAGAACTTGGAGCAGAA